AAGAAGAAGAAGAATATGACGTTATAAACACTCTCATTTCAATAGAACACAATAGAAATGTAAATAGCCTCGACTAATCCACATCTGTTTCTGGGTAATTGCCGGATGCATGCTGGTTTGGTTAAGCCCCCAAATTTTGAAAAGCCAGCTTTTTAAATTAAAACACGCACAAGAAAAAGTTTAAAAGCTAGATAAAAAATGGTAACTCCAATGTGATTAGAAAAATCATGGAGTGTGCAGAAATGGATAAGCTTATGAAGGAGATACAAGAAAAAGAGGAAACAGACTATTACTTAGTCTTGGAGAGATGGTATAAATGGTTGGAGGAAAAGGGAAAAAAGGATGAGGGAAGACTAAATAATGGTTGAGTTAGGAGAAGAAATATAGGAACAAATGGGAAGAAATAAAAATAGTGGAAAGGAAATTGGGTATACATTTATGTCAAATGTAAATAAAACAATTAGAATAATATAATACATTATAATGGTATATATACAATATATTAGAAATATACCGTATGTATAAAAGATATACTAAGATAAGAGAGAGAAAATGTATAAGTATGGATTACCGATGCGAAACTGTTGAAAAGACGAAAGCGTTAATATCTCTTTGGTTTTTTTTTTAAAAAAAACTGTTCAATAAAAATATTTTTAAAAAAAAAAAAAAAACCTCAGTTCACTCAACCAGCACAGTAATGTGGGATGTGACTCATTTTAGGACCGCTTTGCTTAACAATGGAAGTTCTGGCCTCACTTCTAATCATAAACAGGACTATATGTATTTTGGTCTCTGCAAAAGAATAAATAAACATAAATCTGACTTTAAAAAGGAAAAAAAAAATGGTAACTCCATAAACGGTATATCTGTCTTCCATTCTTATTCAGCAACGATCATTTCCGGCAAATAGAAACGTTATTTTATCTACGTGTAGGAGAGAGTCATAAAAATGTAAAACTGGGATCCGATTTTAATGGCTAATTTTTGCTGAAAAGTCCACACCAACCGTCTTCACTGTGTACAACAATGGACTAAGTTGCTACTATCCTGTATCAACCGGTTTAACAAAGGGCCAGCTTGTACTTTGAACAAGGTATAGTACAGATAGTTCCTTGACTTGTGACCACTAATTCCCATTGCTAAGCAAGACGGTTGTTAAATATAGTAATAGTAATGCAGCCTAATGTGAATAGTTTGACAGTGTTGAGGGAATTATTTGTTTAGCAGAGTGATGGCGTTCGGGAAAAACCTTTTCTTGTGTCAAGTTGTTCTGGTGTGCAGTGCTCTATAGCATCATTTTGAGGGTAGGAGTTGAAACAGTTTATGTCCAGGATGTGAGGGGTCTGTAAATATTTTCACAGCCCTCTTTTTGACTCGTGCAGTATACAGGTCCTCCATGGAAGGCAGGTTGGTAGCCATTGTTTTTTCTGCAGTTCTAGTTATCCTCTGAAGTCTGTGTCTGTCTTGTTGGGTTGCAGAACCAAACCAGACAGTTATGGAGGTGCAGATGACAGACTCAATAGATCCTCTGTAGAACTGGATCAGCAGCTCCTTGGGCAGTTTGAGCTTTCTGAGTTGGCGCAGAAAGAACATTCTTTGTTGTGCTTTTTTGATGACGTTTTTGATGTTAGGTGTCCATTTTAGGTCTTGAGATATGGTAGAACCTAGAAATCTGAAGGTCTCTACTGTTGATACTGTGTTGTCTAGGATTGTAAGAGGTGGTAGTATGGGAGGGTTTCTCCTAAAGTCCACCACCATTTCTATGGTTTTGAGTGTGTTCAGTTCCAGATTGTTCTGATCGCACCACGAGGCTAGTTGTTCAACCTCCCGTCTGTATGCGGATTCATCATTGTCTCGAATGAGACCGATCACTGTTGTATCATCTGCAAACTTCAGTAGTTTAACAGAGGGATCGTTTGAGATGCAGTCATTGGTGTATAGAGAGAAGAGAAGTGGAGAGAAGCATCTTGGATGAGTAGTGAAACTTTTTCAGAGAAAAAAATAAAAAAAAATCCAGTTGCCCTTTGGAAAAAAAGCACCTTTGTGTTGTGACCTAGGCCCAAGTAGTTATTACCAGACACAATCAGTCCTAAACAAACATATTTTATTAAAACAGCTGAGAATTACTTCATTCTCAGCTTAGTCCAAATTAAGTCCAAAACAAATCCTTCCTAAACAGTCCTTCGGCCTTATTACCAACCTTTGTCTACTTTGGCACCCTGCCAAAGGCTTTTCTTTTCTTGGCTAAGCCCCACAAAGTTCAGAAAAAAGAGATGCCGACAAGAAACAAATGTAGCAACATTGCTTTCCTACAAAGATCCCAAGAGCCTTTGCTGCTCTTTTAAGCCTTCTGGGGCCAATCATCTCCTGGCCTTACTCCCAAGTCGTCCATTTTGCTTTAGCTGCTCTTGTCTTCTGGCAGCTCTTCGCATGCGTGCATTAGGAACCGGTTCCTCCTGGTACTCTGCCTCTCTGCTATCCGCCTCTGGAGGCTCCGGAGTCCACGCATCGCTCCCAGATGGCCCTGGCCCCATCTCTGCCTCTGACACAGAGCCTTCGTCCGGGCCTTCCAGGACTGGCCCATTGTCCTCCCCAGCCTCCTCACTGTCTGACTCTGCTGCCAGCTCCACAGACTTCTGGCGGACCACAACACTTTGAGACAACTATGACCTGGATGACCGAGACTCTGCACAGACACTCTCGAGTTTTCACTAACATTATTATGTCTTGTAGGCCATAATCGCTCTTGACGTTAGGTCTGGAGTTTCTCACAAGCTTCGAATCCTGCACATTTGTCTTGGTGATTTGGTTTCTTGTTGCTGCTAAACCATTGCTTTAGATTAAGAAGCTGTCAGTAGCCAAGCCACTATTTCTTAAGGTAGTTCAGGGGTCAGGAGATTGCCGATGATACCGCATTGTTGTTTTAAAGCAACCGCAGATAATAAGTCATGTTCTGTCACTGTATTTTTCTGGGTCAGTCCTGGAGCAGATTATTTGTGCGTACAAGCCTGGCCTTATCGATCTTGCGCCTTCACCTTATTGTGCAGGCAATTTTATTGTCTAAAAAAGAATCTCCACACCTATTACACATCCCAGTGTGTGAGTCTGTCTCTGATAAATTGTAACCAATAAAGTCGTATCTGCAGCTTAACCGTGGAGGACTCTTGAGGTGTGATCCTGGGGTTGTCCAGGGGTGAAATCCAGCAGGTTCTGACAGGTTCTGGAGAGCTGGTAGCGGAAATTTTGAGCAGTTCGGAGAACCGGCAAATGCCACCTCTGGCTGGGCCCAGAGTGGGGAGGGAATGGAGATTTTGCAATATCATTCCCCCAGGAATGGGGAGGGAATGGGGATTTTGCAGTATCCTTCCCCTGGAGTCAGGAGGGAATGGAGATTTTGCAGTATCCTTCCCCTGACACACCCACCAAGACACATCATGCCCACCAAGCCATGCCCACAGAACCAATAGTAAAAAAAAATTGGATTTTACCACTGGTTGGACTAGAAGACCTCCAAGGTCCCTTCCAACTCTCTTATTCTGTTAATTTACTAACCTGACTGTTAAGTGAATCTGGATTTCCCTGTGATTTCACCACTGGTGTTGTCCCATTTTACACATAGGTATGTGTCAATTGTGTAGCAATTTTTGTGGGCAATCCCTGTAAGCATTGCATATAGGCATGTTTTTGGTAGGTGAAATATTGCGTTTGTAGAACAAAAACCATTGAAACTTTATTGTGACTGTGATTGTTTGGTGCAAGTACAGATTAAGTGAAACCTGGCTCAAAAACAGTAACTGTGAGAAGGACCTTGGAGTCCTAGTGGACGATCACTTGAATAGGAGCCAGCAGTTGCGGCAGCAACAAAAAAAAAACAGGGGTGAAATCCAGAAAGTTCTGACAGGTTCTGGAGAACCGGTAGCAGAAATTTTGAGTAGTTCGGAGAACCGGTAATGGAAATTTTGAGTGGTCGGAGAACTCGCAAATACCACCTCTGGCTGGCCCCAGAGTGGGGTGGGAATGGAGATTTTGATGTATCCTTTCCCTGGAGTGGGGTGGGAATGGAGATTTTGCAGTATTCTTCCCCTGCCACGCCCACCAAGCCACGCCCACCCACAGAACCAGTAGGAAAAAAAAATTGAATTTCACCACTGAAAAAAAAGCTAATAAAATCCTTGGTTGTATAAACAGAGGCATAGAATCAAACTCAAGTGAAGTATTAATACCGCTTTGTAAAACTTTAGTAAGGCCACACCTGGAATACTGCATCCAGTTTTGGATTGCGAAAAAGATGTTGAGACTTTGAAAAAAGTGCAGAGAAGAGCAACTACAACGATCAAAGGCCTGGAGACTAAAACATATGAAGAACGGTTGCAGGATTTGGGTTTGGCTAGTCTAGAGAAAAGAAGGAATAGGGGGGACATGATAGCAGTATTCCAGTATTGGAGGGGCTGCAACAAAGAAGAGGAAGGGGGTCAACTTATTTTCCAAAGCACCAGAGGGCAGGACAAAAAAAAAACAATCGATAGAAATTAATCAAGCAAAGACGCAACCTGGAATTAAAGAGAAACTAAGCGCCAATAGGGAAGCCAGATTCATTTAACAACTGGGTTACTAACTTATCAGCTGCAGTGATTCATTTAACAACTGTAGCAAGAAAGGTCGTAAAAGGGGGCAAAACTCACTTCACAAATGTCACACTTAGGAACAGAAATTTGGGGCTCAATTGTGGTCGTAAGTCGAGGTGTATCTGTAATATATTCCCTGTCATTTTAAGCAATTATCTCAGTAGCTGCAGCATAGTTCAGTAGTGGGATTCGGCCAGTTCGCACCAATTCGGGAGAACCGGTTGTTAACTTTCTGAGCAGTTTGGTGACCTGGTTGTTGGAAGAAATCATTAGGGCAGAGAACCGGTTGTTAAATTATTTGAATCCCACCACTGGCATAGTTGTTGTCTCAAGACAAGATGACTGTATCATACGTTGTGGTTTCTTTTTGTCCAGGTGATGTTATTGTCTACATTAACGAAGTCTGCGTCCTCGGACATACTCACGCGGATGTTGTCAAACTCTTCCAGTCTGTTCCCATTGGTCAGAGCGTCAACCTGGTGCTATGTCGTGGATATCCTCTGCCCTTTGACCCCGAAGATCCTGCCAATAGTGTAGTGCCACCACTCACCATGATGGAGAGGCCTCCGGTCATCGTCAACGGAAGACATAACTATGAAACGTATTTGGAATACATTTCTAGAACTTCCCAGTCCGTTCCGGATATCACGGATCGCCCGCCACATTCCTTGCACTCCATTCCAGCAGAGAGTCAGCTTGATGGCACATTCCCACCACCCATCCATGACGACAACGTCTCCATGGCCTCATCGGGGGCCACTCAAGCGGAACTCATGACCTTAACCATTGTGAAAGGGGCCCAGGGCTTCGGCTTCACTATAGCGGACAGTCCCACAGGACAGAGGGTGAAGCAGATTTTAGATGTTCAGGGGTGCCCCGGTTTATGTGAAGGTGACCTCATTGTCGAGATCAACCAGCAGAATGTACAGAATATGAGCCATGTTGAAGTAGTGGATATACTCAAAGAATGTCCAGTTGGAAGTGAGACGTCTCTGTTTATCCATAGAGGAGGTAAGTCTGGAAGGTCTACGCAATTTACAGTAATTTGTGGTGTGTGAAAGTTTTAAAAGATGCTTGCTCTATCAGTGTGTTATGAAGTAGAAGTCAGCTACCTCCTTAAATATACCGTATTTTTCGGAGTATAAGACGCACCTTAATTCTTGGGGAGGAAAATAAGAAAAAAGCTGGTTGGCAGGTGGATCGGCCTCCCAGAATACTCCCAATCAGCTGTTTCCAGAGGTGAATTTTAGCAACAGGTTCGTTCATTCTTTGTGAGCTCTGTGCCTTGCTTTTTTTTCTGCCTCTGAAAGCCTCTGAAACAGAGCTTCAGAAAAAAAGGCTTTTTTTCTGAAGCTCTGTTTGGAGGCTTTTTTTCTGAAGCTTCTTTCAGAGGCTTTTTTTTCTGAAGCTTCTTTCAGAGGCTTTTTTTTCTGAAGCTTCTTTCAGAGGCTTTTATTATGAAGGACTATCTGTACTCTGTTCAATCTCCTTTCTTTGATATTGGTATGCAGATTAACCTCTTCCGATCTGTTGGTTATTGTGTCGTTCTCCAGATTTGTTAGCATAGTTTGGTTAGAACCTTTACCGATTCTTCTTTTGTTGCTTGCCATATTATTTTCGGTAAAAGCCTTTCAGAGGCTTTTTTTTCTGAAACTTCGTTTCTGAGGCTTTTTTTCTGAAGCTTCTTTCAGGGGCTTCTTTCAGCTTCTGAAATCTCCATTTACGAGGCTGGGCGCGGCTACATTCGGAGTATAAGATGCACCCAGATTTTCACCCTCTTTTTTTGGGGGGGGAAAGGTGCGTCTTATGCTCCGAAAAATACGGTAATAGGTGACGATGATGATGTTATCAATTCAATTGTGTCCAACTTTTGGGGATTCCGTGGGATCCCCAATCTTCCAATCTTGCCCTACTTCTTTGATATCTATGCAGATTCTCGGTCTTCCAGGTCATGGTTGTCCCAAAGGTGCTTTTTCCAAGAGGCAACTGGACTTTCTGGTTTTTCTTTGAAGACATTTTGCTTCTCATCCAAGAAGCTTCTTCAGCTCTGACTGGAGAGTGCGGAATAGAAGGATTTATACTTCTTGCAGACAGCTGGTCATTTGCATCCTTTTAGAGAGTTGTTGAGGCCACTTGGAGGTTTGTCTGTGTCCTCAGGTTCACCCGAGTGGTACAAATGGGTGTTGGAACTGTTGAAAGGACCATGTTGTAGAATGGAGATAGATGATGTCGATCCCTCCCTCTCTGTTGAGGGAGGGCTGTTCAATTTGGACACAGATAGCCTCTTTCACCCCTCTTTCAAACCTTTACTGCTTTCCTAAATCCCAAAGGTGCTTTTTTCAGGAGGCAACTGGACTTTCTGGTTTTTCTTTGAAGACCTTTCCCTTCTCATCCAAGAAGCTTCTTCGGCTCTGACTGGATGGTGAGGAATGGAAGGATTTATATTCCTTGCAGACGGCTGGTCATTTGCATCCTTTTAGAGGGTCGTTGAGGCTACCTGGACTTTCTTTGTTTTTCCTTGAAGACGTTTCACTTCTCATCCGAGAAGCTTCTTCAATTCTGTTCTTCAGGCAGAACCAAAGAAGCTTCTCGGATGAGAAGCGAAGTGCCTTCAAGGAAAAACAAAGAAAGTCCAATTGCCTCCTGAAAAAGCACCTTTGGGTCTCCTTCCTTGAGTTTTTCTATGCTCTGGCTGGTGCCAGCTTTGATGGTGTCCATCCTCCATGTTCTTCTATACCCATGATGGCGAATCTATGGCACGCATGGCCTACCTCAGCTTCAGCACGCATGTGTGCGCCGGCCACCTGATTTTCGGCCCTTCCGGGCCCACTGGAAGTCAGGAAATGGGCTATTTCCAGCCTCAGGAGGGCCTCCGGGGGCGTGAGGAAGGCAGTTTTCACCCTCCCCAGGCTCCTAGAAAGCCTCTGGAGCCTGGGGAGGGTGAAAAACAGGCCTACCGGGCCCTCCATGTCATCATGTGCCAAAAGCAGGGGGAGCATGGGGGGGGTGTCACACACACATGTGCACGGGGCGGGGCACATTGAATTATGGGTGTGGGCATGCATGTGCACAAACCCCCCGCCCTCCCCCCACTTTTGGCACATGACGGCAAAAAGGTCAGCCATCACTGTTCTATACAGTACATTTTAAAAATGCAAACGTAGGCAGAATGCAATATTATAAATTCTCCTTCCCTGTGTTTTCAGACGTTAAATAACTCCCATGAAGTACGCACACATGTACGTGAAAATTATGGTATTAATGTCATTTTGTATGGCGTAATATTTGATCAAGGTACATTACAGCAGTCCTCAATTTAAGACTGGGTAATTGAGCCCAAAATTTCTGTTGCTGAGTGAGACATTTGTTAAGTGACTTTTGCCCCATTTTGCGGCCCTGTTGTTAAGTGAATCGCTCAAGTTGTAAAGTGAGCAACGAAGTTGTTAAATGTATTTATTTTATTTATTTTATGCAATTTATATGCCGCCCTATCTCCGAGGACTCAGGGCAGCTCACAACAGTAAAATGCAGTAAATACAGTAAAATAGTTCCTCATTAAAAGCGATATAAAATTAAAGTTCCGATTTAAAACAATTTAAAATTCATTAAATGAAACAACCTCTTCGGCCGAAAAAATGCTTTTAAAAGTTTTTTTTAAAAAGCCTCTGATGATCACGCGGCTCAGCTGGGATCGTCAGAGGCTTTTAAAAGCATTTTTTCTACAACCTCTTCGGCCGAAGAGGTTATAGAAAAAATGTTTTTAAAAGGGAAAAAAAGTCTCTGCCAATCAGGCAAGTCAGCTGGGATCGTCAGAGGCTTTAAAAGCATTTTTTTTCTACAACCTCAAAAGCCTCTGACAATCAAAGCTGAGTTGCCTGATCGTCAGAGGCTTTTAAAAGCATTGTTTTCTGCAACCTCTTAACATTACCCCCCCCTCCACCAAGCCACGTCCACAGAACCAGAACCGGTAGTAACAAATTTTAGATTTCACCACTGGTCATAAGTCTTTTTTTTTTAATGACATAATTTTGAACAGTCACTAAAGGAACTTGTGGACTGATCAATCAAATCCCACAGTCAAACTGGCAGAGAGAACATATGCAGAAACTGGTTGTACATAAAATAGGCACCCATATTTATATCTTGTAGATGCCTTATCTTTGGGACCATTCTCCAACTGGATTATATTCGATATAATCATCTTCATTTAACGACCCCATAATCCCTTGCGGGGTGAAGCCTGAGCCACTGAATGGAGCTAGCAGAGTGTTTTACTGGCCTGTTGCCAATGAGGAGTTTTGTTCAGCAAATATATTCTCCCAGAGAGAGAAATATCTGCCTCTACCTAGGATCGAACTCACAGCCTCCTGATTGTGAGGCGAGAGCTCCACCTCTAGGCCACCGCACCACTCCTGATATTCGATATAATCCATTTTACAAAATTCATTTCAGATTTTACCGTTATCCGTCCGGCATGAATAGGTGAATCTGTAAGTCATTTATAAACAATTAGTACAGATTAAACTTCATTAGAAACTATCCTGAGGAATTAAAATTAATTGAACCGACTCGCGAAGGAAGTGGAATCCTGGGGCTGTCTACAAATCTGGAGAAATGATCAAGGGACTTCGGATGGCTTGTTTAACTCCTGGAAACTGATAGAGAGATCGTCCTCGCCTTACAACCATTCATTTAGTGACTGTTCGAAGTTACCGCGCTGAAAAAAGTGACTTATGACTATTTTTCACACTTATGACCGCTGCAGCATCCCCCATGGTCATGTGATCAAAATTGCTCGGCAACTGGCATGTATTTTTGATGGTTGCAGTGTCCCAGGGTCATGTGATGACCTTTTGCGACCCTCTGACAAGCAAAGTCAATGGGGAAGCCAGATTCACTTAACAACCGGATTACTAATTTATCAACCACAGACATCTTCTTTTTAACAACCCTATAATCCCTTGCAGGTGGAGTTGGAGCAACTGAATGGAGTTGAGTGTTTACTGGCCGGATGCCATTCCTGTCGCCAGTGCGGAGTTTTGTTCAGCAGATAAATTCTCACCGTGCCCAGAGAGAGAAATATCTGCCTCTACCTAGGATCGAACTCACAGCCTCCTGATTGTGAGGCGAGAGCTCCACCTCTAGGCCACCCTACCCCTCAACTTATCAACCACAGTGATTCACTAAAAAGCCGTGGCAAGAAAAGTCATAAAATTAAAGTCACTTAACAAATGCCTCACTTAACAACAGAAGCGTTGGGCTCAGTCGTGGTCACTAAGTCGAGGACTACCTGTATTAGGAATATTCATTACAGATACAGAGAGGTTGACATTTCTTTTACATACAAAATACGAAAGGTGCATTATAGGTTTCGCAGGTCAGAGGTGGGTTTCCACATAATTTTACCACCGGTTTGCCGGAGAACCGGTAGCGGAAATTTTGAGTAGTTCAGAGAACCGGTAGTAAAAATTCTGACTGCCCCCCCCCATCTATTCTCTGCCTCCCGAGTCCCAGCAGATCGGGAGGAAATGGGGATTTTGCAATAACCTTCCCCTGGAGAGGGGTGGGAATGTGGTTAAATAGGATGGCATAGCCCCGGGGCAGGTCAGGCCCACCCACAGCTCGCCGCTACCAGTTTGTCTGAACCTTTCCGAAACGGCTGAATACCGCCACTGTCGCAGGTAAAATGAAGGGAGAGCGTCTTTTTTCTCCAGCTGTGACAACCTAGCTCAGAACAGCTTTGAACTGGAACTGAATATTTGTTTTCATCCCAAGTAAGAGAATAATTCAGTTAAATGAAAAGTAATTGCTTACCTGGCATTTAAGTGGGAGTAGAAGACCTGCATTGATTATCCTTCTGGGAAATTTACCTACTGACGTCTTCTTGTCGTGAAAGGCTGGCATGCCAATTTGGATGCTGTTTGTATTCCGAGAACGAAAACATCCTGAAAATTACATGAGAATTTCAAACATTAAGAAAAAGCCACAGAGAACAGCGCACGCTCTGCTAA